TAAGACCATCGGAAAACACATATATAATTCCATATTGTTTTTGTGATGAATCACTGTGCTCTCATTATGTTCAATTTGTAACCATGAAAATACATCCTGCATAGCAGATATTTACATGACGATTCATAACGGTAGCAAAATTACAGTGATGAAGTAGCCACGAAAGTAATTTTATGGTTGGGGGTTCCCCACAACATGAGGAGCTGTATTGAAGGGTCGCGGCATGAGGAAGGTTGAGAACCACTGGCCTCGGGGGAACAAGTGAAGTCACGGCTTAATCACAAGTAAATGGGGTGCCGCCGAGAGCGGGGTGCGGGGTCAGGGAGCCGGGGTACCAGGCGCGAACGGGAGGCTGAGCCCCTAAAGGTGATGGTGGCAGGTGGGGGTCAGGCGACGTCCTGGTACCTGCTCCCCGCCGGGCGCTGGGGTAGAGTGAACAGTGAAACGGGCCCTGTTCTCAAGGAAACGGGAGCTTCATGGGGAAGATGGGCCTGAAACCAAGTGTTAGCTGGGGTAGAGTGAACAGTGAAACGGGCCCTGTGCTCAAGGAAACGGGAGCTTCCTGGGGAAGACCGGCCTTAAGCAAAGTGTTAGGGCCCTGGCCGGTGTGGCTCATTGGATAGAGCATCCGCCTGCGGACGGAAGGGTTTCGGGTTGGATGCCAGGTCAGGGCACAGTCCCGGGTTGCGGGCTCGATCCCCTGTAGGGGGCGTGCAGGAGGCAGCCAATCAATGATTCTCTCTCATTATGGATGTTTCTATCTCTCTCTCGCTCTCCCTTCCTCTCTGAAATCAATAAAATATATATTTTTTAAAAAACACCCAAAGTGTTAGAAATTTAACTTTATTGTTGATTCTCACCAGAGAGCGTTTTCCCTGTTGCTTTTTAGAGACAGTGGGAGGGAGGGGGAGAGAGAGAGAGAGAGAGAGAGAGAGAGAGAGACTAAACATCAGTGTGAGAGAGACGCATCGATTGGCTGCCTCCCACACGCATCCCGACAGAGATCCAACATTCAACCCAGGGACAAGCCCTTGACCGGGACTCGAACCCAAGACCCCTCAGTACACAGGATGGCAAATGTTAGGAATTTAGGGTCTCTTAAGTGTCAAGGCAATCGAGTGAGTTCATAAATGTACAAACGGGAGTAGGATCCAATCTTGTGGGTGGGAGGGGTGTGTCACAGAAAAGCCATGTCGCCAAACATAATGTTTATGCCTCTACCATATATGGGAAATAATATATTCACAGACCTAGAGAAAAGAGACCGTAATGTGGTGGGTCTAACGACTAAATGAAATTGTTGATTCATTTACCCAATGTTTCTTTTTTTTTTAAAATATATTTTTATTGATTTCAGAGAGGAAGGGAGAGAGCTAGAGAGATAGAAACATCAATGATGAGAAAGAATCATTGATTGGCTGCATCCTGCACGCCCCCCACTGGGGATCGAGCCTGCAACCCGGGCATGTGCCCCGACCTCCTGGTTCATAGGTCGACACTCAACCACTGAGCCACACCGGCCGGGCGGGAGGATGTATCTTTTAAGCCTTAATGGGTGGGTGGGGAGGTGCTGTGTCTTGTCAGTGAAGTGACTGTGAACGGGTAGGTGGTGTGAGTTGCGGCTGGAGATTATCTGGGTTCTGGGGGGTTTGTTCATGGATTAATGCAGTAGGTGTTTATTGAGCACCTACTATGTGCCAGGCACAGTGAGGAGCTGGAGAGCCACGCAGATGAAAACGCCGGTCCTTGTGGAGCCTGCGGGCTAGTGGGGGGGACGAGGATGGGCCAGGGCCTCCTGGGGGGGAGCCCCTCTCGGTAATGAGGGGAACCCTGCTCTCCCCCCAGTAGGCCTCGGGATGTCTCTGGCAGACGAGCTCCTGGCCGACCTCGAGGAGGCGGCGGAAGAGGAGGAAGGAGGAAGCTATGGGGAGGAGGAGGAGGAGCCGGCGATCGAGGATGTGCAGGAGGAGACGCAGCTGGATCTCTCCGGGGATTCGGTCAAGAGCATCGCCAAGCTGTGGGACAGCAAGATGGTGAGCGGCCGCGGGCGGGGGCTCGGAGGGTGCGGTGGGCAGGGCCTCTCTCCGGCCGTCCTGGGAGCTGACCCGCCTCTCCCCCCCAGTTTGCTGAGATCATGATGAAGATCGAGGAGTACATCAGCAAGCAAGCCAACGCTTCGGAAGGTACCCCCTGCCTCCCCTGGCCTCGCCCACCGCCTGCTCCCCCGCCTCGCGCAGGTTGTGGCTTTGAAAGCTGGGTCGCTCCCGCTCCGGCCTTTTCTGAGCCCTCTTCTCCTCCATCCCAGCCCGGGCCCCTTCTCTCCCGAAAAGACGCTGGATTTTACAGCGTTCACCAGTCGCCTAGGACTCCGTCCGGGTGTCGAAGCGGTGTCTAAGAAACATCAGTGATGAGAGAGAACCACTGGGCTCCAGCCCGAAAACCGGGCATGTGCCCTTGACCGGGAACGGAACCATGGCCTCCTGGTTCATTGGCCGAGGCTCAACCCCTGAGCCACGCCGGCCGGGCTCCCCTGACTGTTCTGTAACTGCCAGTTTGTACTTCTTAGTCCCTTCACCTTTTCCACCAGCCTCCCAACCCCCACTCCGCATTTTCTTTAAATCAGCGGTTCTCAACCTGTGGGTCGCAACCCCTTTGGCGGTCGAACGGCCCTTTCACAGGGGTCGCCTAAGACCATCCTGCATATCAGATGTTTCCATGACGATTCATAACAGTAGCAACATGACAGTGATGAAGTAGCAACGAAAATAATTGTATGGTTGGGTCACAACATGAGGAACTGTATTTAAAGGGCCAGAAGGTTGAGACCCACTGCTTTAAATCAACGTACTTTTTTCATTAACTGTATCTCAGAAGGAAAGCTGTGTTACTGTGAGTAGAAGGCTGGTGCCATTTGGTAAACAGGAAGTAGCCACAAACGTGCACGATTCCTAACGCATCACCTAAAGCCTCTCCCTCCCAGCTGAGGGCAGCGCTGGGTTAGCTCTTGGCCGTCCAGACCAGCTCTCAGGGGTGATCCTGTTACAGCCCATTCTCCTCGCCAGGGTGGGGCTCTCTGGGATTCAGTGGCCGGGAAGGTTGTCAGGCACAGGGGTGGTGTCATCAGAGCGGAGTTTCAGGGACATTCACTCTTCCTTTCTGCAAAGGAAAGACTGAGGCACCTCGGGGCCAGGCGTGTGGGTGCTGGGCACCCCGAGGGGTCAGCCGAGGGCAGCAGGTTCCAGACAGCAATTGGGGGGCAGTGCCTGCTTGGAGGGAGGGAGCTGGGGACCCTCTGGAGCCCCCGGAGGGCCAGCTGAGCCTGCCTCGGGGGTCGGGGAAGAACTGATACCTGGATTGGACGTGGAAGTGCGAATGCATGTGTCAGGCACATGGGGGGGGGGCAGGGGGCATGTGCCCAGGGAAGAGAGCTGCGTGGGCAGAGCCCCGGGCGTGGGCACCACCAGGTGTTT